AATTTCCATCTCTACTGAATTTTCTTTTCACTGAGTGATTATCATTATACTTTCCCTTAATTCTTTAAACATAGTTTCCTTTAATTCTTTGGAGCTTTTTCTAATACCTACTTTAACTCTTTGTATTTTAAACCCAACATCAAAGACCCTCAGAGAGAGGTTCTATTTACTACTTTTTTCCCTAAATACAGGTCACATTTTGTTCATTTGCATGTCTCATCGTTTTTTTACACCTGTTTTGTTTTGTTTGTTTGTTTGTTTTAAATATTGGCCTTTTTTAGATAACATACTGTAGCAACTCTGGGTTCTATTTTCTCCCTGGAGGTTATTGTTTTGTGTTCTTTGGTAGTTTAGTAAACTTGCCTAGAGTAAGTTTATAAAGTATTGTCTCCCCCAAAATGTGCAGCTACTCCCATTACTGTTCACTTATTATTTTCCTTGATTTCATTGTTAATCTTGCCTTCCTGGAGATCGTCCGTGTATTTGCGTAGCTTAGCAGTCAGTCAAAGATCGCCCAGAGCTTGTTCTCCAACAGCACAGGCCGCTGCAGCTTCCATCTTCTTCTGACCGATGGAAATTATCTAAAGCAAGCTGGGGGTAATATTGAACCCTTTAGGTCATTTTCAACTCTTCCCCTGCTTTTCACTTTCCACCAGGTTCTCTCACATAATCTCCACATCTATGTATGGGTTCTGCCAGCCAGGGGTAGATGGGGGACTTGGGGCCTCTCTCGTCTCTGCTATACATGTGCGTGGTGGCCTCAACTCTTAGGATCTGTTTGAGACCTGAGCATAAGAAAAAAGTTGTGTGCTATATAAAAAGTGTCGTTTTCTTGTTTGCTATTAAGAGAAATTAAGAGTAATTTGATTTCTCAGGGACTACCTCTCATTACACTTATGTTCTGATAGATAATAAAACTCATTACGAAGCAAGGGCATTTCACAGCAGGATGCCACCAAAAACTATGTATAGTTTAATATACTAACATTTACATTTAAAGGAGCTCGATGCATTCATTAATGTTGTTATTCTGTGCTAAGGAAAGATAAATAAATAAAAAGAAGTAAGAAACATGGATGACCCTGCAGGCTGTTCAGTGTCATCAAAAACATGACAGAAAGGAGCAAACAGGTGAAAAAAAAAAACGACACAAGTTTGAGTTTGCAAATGGTGCAAAGCAACCTATGTAACTCAATCTGGTTCTTTTCTGATTTTTGCATAAAGGAAAAAGAATAGCCAATATCAACTGAAAATACATAAATAAATGGGCACCTTCTCTCTGAAAAATATTCTCATGACACCAGACTACCTAAAATTTAGGTTTCAGCCAAAATTTTTTTAAAAGGCTACCCCCTCTAGCCTTCTGTTACCAAATATTCTCTCTTTAGTGCTAAGAAATCCATTTGTGGATTCAACAGGCATTCACTGAGCACCTGCCATGGGCCAGACACTCTGCTAAATACTGGATAGTTGGCGTGTATGAGTGATGGTTACGATTGAGCAAGGGAGACAAATGAGTACATCTAAAATGGAATGCACTGTAGTCAGTGTTATTTGATAAAGTAATCCCACATGGAGGCATCCGGGAATGCTTCCCAGAAGAGAAGACATGCAAGGGTCCTGAAGCATGAACAGGAATGAGCCAAGCACTAGAAGGAAGGGCAGGGTGTTCTGGGTACAGGCATAAGCATGGAGTGTTTGGGGGAACTGCAAGTATTTTAGGAGCTGGAGCCTATGATTTTGAAGGAGTGATAAAAAGGAAAGCCAGAGAAGGCAGGATCCATCATAAAGTACTTGCGCCCCAAGCTGAGTGTTTGGTGTCGCTCAACACGACTGGGAATGCCTGTGAGTGTTGGAGAGGGGAGTGATGCTGGGGGCCCTATCTGTGCTATGAAGATCTATTTGTGGATATTTGCTCCACATACTCAACACATGAACCTAAAATAGCTTTCAAAAATAGTCTATAAAAACGTAACTGGACAACCAGATGCATGTGTTGAGTATGTGGAGAAAATATGCACAAATGCATGTATTTAGTACATAAGAATTAGGTATAAAATGACTTATGCAATATTTAATATCAATAAAAATGACTCAATTACTCTGATATATATAATGAGAGAAGAACTGCTCAGAAAGTGCAGTGGTGATAAAACCTTGGTGCTCATGAGAAAGATCCCGAATGGGATTCATAATCAAGTACAAAATGGCTGGGGTCATGAAAGCTCTGAGAACAGTTTAGGAAATTGTTGAGGGCAGCTCTTCCAGTCCAGTGGACTGGTATTTTGAGTAACTTCCAACATGGCTGGACAGAAAGACACATTTCCCAGTAATGTGGTAAATACGATATAAAAATATGCACAAAGTGCTTTGGGGTGATGCAGACACTTAGCCCAAGTTCTTGGAGGGTGTAGAGCAGAGTAGTATGCAACACTTCCCAGTACCAGCGGAGGACTCCAAACTCCTCCTGCCATTGCTTCTTGGTGTAGGCATCACCAAGGAAAACACCATGGGCAAGCACCAGATGAAACGCTACTTTACTTACTCTTTCTTTACCCTTCTCTACAGAGGAGATACAGCAAGATCAGCTCCACTAGGGCACATCCACCTCTCACAGCTAAGCAGTCTCCCTCCCCCATTCCAGCAGCTGACCGAATGCAGTTGGCCTACGTGTACCTCTGTGGTGCTACAGCAGAAGGACCCCAGCTCCTCCTCTGTGGAATCAGAAATACTGAAAGCTAGGGGTCTGCTTAAGGGCCTTTGACATGCATGCTTAAGTAGAACAAAAGAGCTCTCACAGGGAAAGATATTCTCACTCAAGGTGAAACCCTCAGCTCAGGCTGTGGGGCTCCATCTCTTGGTAAGGAGGAGTCCCAGGCTCAAGGCCCATTCTTACACAGCCCGCGCGTGCAACCGATTTCCAACCAAAGGCCCATCAAGTTTATGGAAAGCATTCTGAAAACAACAACTGTTCTGATTCTTGAAGATTAAGTAACAATTACCTATGTAAAGAAGAGGAAGATTTGGGGGAAGGGTGTGCTAAGCAGGGGGAAGACCTCATAAAAAGGCACAAAAGTGTGGATGGGGACTAGAAACTGTATGTGGCTCAATACATCATTGAAAGAAGAACCAAATGTCGGGTTCAGGATAGCTGAATAGGGGGTTGAAAAGTGTGTAAGGGCAAGCAGGGGCGACTCGACTTTACTCTGTAAGTGGCGGACTGGTTGGTAGATGCACCTTAGCGAAAGACGCTGGGCAGACTGAGAGCAAAATAAGATTAAGCTCAGAATGGATAAAGCCCAACATCAGCCTTGAGATCAGCCAGAACTTACGGAGATTCATGGAACTGGGACAGGAGAGCCAGCTGTGTCCCGGAGTTACTTCTCCTATTCGTAGGGGATTCAGTGGCTGGGTCCAGCTCTGTTGCTCACTAGCAGTGATGACTTCATAGCTCTCAGTTCCTTTATCTCTAAAACAAAGCAGGCATTAAATTAAATGATTTTTTTATGTCTCCTAAAACCAAAAATGCTCATTTGATGATTATGCCTCCATTTTTTCTTATATCATGCAATCATGAAGACTATAATACAATTCATATTATAATAGCTTGATATACTGTCAGTTGATTTGATTAACAATGGAAGCAAAATGAAATCATTGAGATTGTGGAAAAATGATATTATCCAGACTTTAAATAAGACATTTCTTCAAATATTTATGCTCGATACCCCTATTCTTTTTTCAAAAGCCAACAAAAATACCTTTAATTTCCTTTTCAGTTAAGGTCCTCTCAGTTTGGGTTGCTTAATATTCTTATTAGGTGCTCCATGCTCAACATAAAGAAAACTGTATTAACATTTCCTTAGAACAAGATAGTGTATTTACATATTTAGATAAATATCTTATAGATGCTTAATTTGTTTCTAGGTGGACTGTTTGCATTTTATTGTAATAAATGAGCCAGACACTGACCAATGTCTGATTTGAAGGAGAATAAAAACAATTAACTGTTTAATTATATTCCATTAGCAAAAGTATCAACCTTTCATGCCAAATATAAAAGTTGTCTCTATACTCAGATTAAATTTTGCCAGCTTCACATTCCTTCCATGGTAATATTCAACACTCTGAAATTCTCGCTGTCACACTTCTTGCACTTTTGAAAAATGTCAACACTCAGTTGTATAGCATTTGATTTAATGCTTTTAGGGGCACTTTCAGCCTTTCATAATTTATAGCCATCTCCCCAAAATATGTGATAGGCACAGTTCAGGTGGCAGGCAGAATGAAAGGCCAATATATAGACTGAAGTGTTATAAGACATCAATAAAGAGAATGGATTAAAAAATAAAAGTCAAAGCAGAAACTACTTTAATACCTCATCATTTCATTACCACCTTATTACCAAATTCCTGAAGTTTATCCTTTTGACAATGTGCTATGTAGTAATTTCAGAAATTATTATAAAGATTCTTGGAATCTTCCATATATTTATCTCAGTGATCTAAAGTAGTAATTTCAATATTTTCTTAGTGTGTAACTACATATATGCATTTTTTCCTCTTTTTGCATAGTCTGTACAGACTGGCATTTCCAATTGTGATTTTATTTCATATTAGCTAACCTAGAAAATGGAAATAGGTCTTGTTTTGTAAACAAAATACCTTAAAATACAAACTTAAAATGTCAAATTTTGATCTGTAAAATGTAGTCAAGAGCAGCGCAGCGACGGCGGCGGCGGTTGCGACCAGCAGCCGTTGAGACGCCTCTGCAGCAGCTGGTGGCGCCGGTGGCTTGCGTGGACGCGGGCGGAGGCGGCCGGTCCGCCACCGCAGCCCCAGCGCCTGCGGCCCCTGCAGGGGCGTCGGGCACCCCGAGGCAGCCTCCTCCTCCCACTGCCCCGGGAGTTTGGGCTTCCGTCCTCCCTCCCGCATCCCCTGGCCATCCGCACCGCCTCACCTCCTCCCCGCGCTTCGGACCCCCGACCTCACCCCTGAAACATGACTCACAATTTCAAACCTGGGGACCTCATCTTCGCCAAGATGAAAGGCTATCCTCATTGGCCAGCTCGAGTAGATGCAGTTCCAGATGCAGCTGCAAAACCACCCACAAACAAACTACCCATTTTCTTTTTCGGAACTCATGAAACTGCTTTGTTAGGCCCAAAGGACGTATTACCTTACTCAGAAAATAAGGAAAAGTACGGCAAACCAAACGAACGAAAAGGCTTTAATGAAGGTTTATGGGAGATAGATAACGATCCAAAAGTGAAATTTTCAAGTCAACAGGCATCAGCTAAACAATCAAATGCATCATCTGATGTTGAAGTTGAGGAGAAAGAAACAAGTATTTCAGAGGAAGATACTGACCATGAAGAACAAGCCAGCAATGAGGAGTGACTACAGCAATTGACATAACCACTCCAAAAGCTGCCAGAAGAGGAAGAAAGAGAAAGCCAGAAAAACAAGTAGAAACCAAGGAGGCAGGAGTAGTGACGACAGCAACAGCATCTGTTAACCTAAAAATGAGTCCGAAAAGAGGACGACCTGCAGCTGCCGAAGTCAAGATTCCCAAACCGAGAGGCAGACCCAAAATGGTAAAACAGTCCTGCCCTTCAGAGAGTGACATGGTTACTGAAGAAGACAAAACTAAGAAAAAGGGGCAAGAGGAAAAACAGCCTAAAAAGCAGCTTAAAAAGGATGAAGAAGGCCAGAAGGAAGAAGATAAGCCAAGAAAAGAGCCAGACAAAAAAGAGGCAAAGAAAGAAGTTGAATCAAAAAGGAAAAATTTAGCTAAAACAGGAGTTACATCAACCTCTGATTCTGAAGAGGAAGGAGATGACCAGGATAGTGAAAAGAAGAGAAAAGCTGCAAGAAGTTTGCCGGCTGCTCATAGAAGGACTATTCCGAGAGGCCAATATGAGAAAGAAGTGGCAAAAAGAAAGCGCAAGCGAGGAACAAACGGAAACCGAGCATTTTGCTCTGTAAAGCATTTCAGATGCAGCTTGTGTGAAATGCATTATGCAAAATAAAGTTTACTGTATTGTATTCCCAGCCAAACAACATGTAATCTACAGTAATAAAAAATAAATCTCATTTTGGGCTCAAAGCATTAATCCAGTTACTGAAAAGAGAATACAAGTGGAGCAAACGAGAGATGAAGGTCTTGAGACAGACTCATTGGACTGAATTTCCCCCTTCCCCCCTTGATGGAAGAATGTTCCAGATTCTAAATTGAGGACTTCATTAATGGCATTATAACTGTGTTGATTGTTTAAAAAAACCATGTCCTGTAAGGTACACACTACATACTAAGGTTGGCCATCATTCCTGTTGAAAGATTTTTACCAAGCTTACAATGAAGCTTTTGTGTTTAATAGTTATAAGAAGCTCAGATGAAGATGGTGGTTGTGCATTATTTCATTTAGAAAACATAAAAATCGTTTTGTTTTGAAGCTAGGTGTAAACTGGAATAGCAGTTATACCCCAGAGAATGGGGCAGTTGTGCCTGTCCCTTGACATTCCTTTGTTGTTTAATTCCTTAGAATCTTCATAATTGTTTTTCTTTCAATCCTGAGAGATTAAACAGTAGACTTGTTAAGAAAACAAAAATGAAACTAACCAAAATTTTAAAATAAAGTTTAAAAAAAAAAGTACTCAAAAAAATACAATATATCCTTGAAATAAAACATGTTTAAGATGGTCCTTATATGACTTAAGCCAGTAAATAAAGAGCTATTTCTTTCCTTATGCTCAATTAAAAATAAGTATATAGATTATTTAGACACTGTTAAATCAAGACATTTTCAAGAAGCATTTCCTTTTTTCACCCTAGATACTGAGAATCTCAGATGCCAGCGTTAAGTTCCTTTACAGGTCTCGAAGCCATGCCATATAAGAGATGTTCCATCTGAAGACAGCACAGTTCGAAAAGACTGTCAGTTATTCAGTTGCTCTTCAACAAATATTTGACATTAACTATATGCCGTTCACATTGGAAGAATATTCCCCCCAAGGAGTAAATCATAACCAGTGTTTACTTCTAAAAAAAGTTGAAGAGATTCAGCTCAACACAGAGATCCCCATTTTACTCCCAAAGTGGATCAGATCCTTGCAGTGGAAATACTGTGAAACAGTGAAAACCTGGTCACCAGGGAGGTATATCATAATTACCTAGGAAGCTGTTAAAAATATACATGCCTAATTCCCACGTCCATGGGTCTATATTTTTGACAAGCTCCCATGGCAATTCTGTTGCAAAACTAATCTTAAGAACTACCAATCTAAGCTAAAATCTTGAAAAGATAACAGTCATGTCTTTCCTGTCTGTCTACCACAAGGCCATTCTGCGCCTGACACATGTCAGGACTTCATATTTACGGAATGTCAGAATGGCTAAGTGAATGGCATAATGTGTCAAAGAAAAAATAATTTCTGACCCTGAGTATCATTGAGAAGGTGGAATTGAAGTAGTCCTTAAAATAAGAGAAGAATGTTTAGATCTCTACCTAGAAAGAATGAAGCACTGAGAATAGATTTTCATGGAGCAGCTCTAAGACAATGGGCAGATATTTCTGGGTTGGAGAACTTCCAGTCTCTCAACCCACATCACAAAAGAAGAGGCCTGCTTGGCCAGCAGCTGAGGTCCGCCCTGACGCTCCTGAATCAGCCCTAGGCTTTCAGTGCCTCGTGAAATATATGAATCACCACAAAAAAAGGCTTAATTGCTATTCATAAAACATATAATTTGTGACTAAGATTTCGGAGGTTATTAGACTTCCATTTAGAAACTACACTTAAATTGGTGTTAATTTAGCCATGTAATTTAGCATGAGCCCCAAATGGAAAGAACAGGAAAATACAAATGTAATAAAAATGGTAGTGCTGCGCATTGCCAACAGAATGTTTCATAGGACCAATACCAGGGACTTTAAGAGAGATCATTTGCATAACAGCTGATAAGGTAATTTAAATGAATGTGTAATCTCCACTAACCAAAGTTATATTTTCAAAAACAAATCTTTATAGAAGAAAGGCTCCTCCTCTCCAGGAATATGCAGTAAATATTGATCTTTCACTATATTAATAGTGAAACTTAAATATTAATAATGATAACTTAAATGTAAAAACATGTCCAGTGTTTCAGGTATATGTTCTTAAAAGGAAAAATACGGCAGTCTACAGTTTATTATCTCACCTTGAAAACATGTTAAATTTCATGGTTAATTCCTTCAACACACATTTATTGGGTAATCATTATAAGCCAACCATTGTTCTAGAATTGTGTTCACGAGAACACAATTGTTCATAGCGTAGTAAGGATTCTGCTCTCTGGGAGCTTACATTCTGGGTAGTAGACAGTAAATGACCAACAACTAAATTAATAAGAAAGTAAATAGATACATTTTGAACATGATCAGTTGATAAACATATTAAAAGCAATGTAAGGAAAAGAGACAAACGTTAGATTCAAGGAAATTCTCCTCTCAGGAGACATTTCAGCTAAAACTTAATGATGGAAGGCACCCGCCATGGAAAGATCATACCAATGGAGAAGTTTCCAAGCAGAGCAAATGCAGAAAGTTTGCAAAACAGAACAATCAGGACCATAGTTTGAGGTCCGCACAAAAGCAAAGGTTGTATCACAAGCAACTTACTGGAGGTGATCGCAAAGGGCAAGGACTGGAGACAGGGAGACAGAGCAGGCAGAAAGCCCACGTACAGGGAAGTCACGAAGGTACCGCTCTGGGCGATAGGGGCTCCGTTCTTCAGGAACCTCCCGAGGAGCACACAGAGGGTCTGCAAAAAGTGGTCCCCTGAAGGGTGAAAGGCAGAAGCAGTGCAGCCTCCACTGCTGGAGGTTGTCCCTTGGGCCACTGACTCTGCTCCTTCAGGCTATGTTGTGCAGGAATAGAAGGGGCCTGTAAGAAGTCCAGGGTCCAAGGCAAAAATGATTGACGCTCTTCTCATGGTGAGAAGTTGTCGGTGTGGTGGGCCTGAGTTGCCAGGGAACTGTCCAGTGTAGCCACATCTGAGGTCAGCAGAGCCCAGGGGAGTGGACATGGCATATCGAGGACTGGTGAAACAGGAATTGATTAAGTGGGAAGAAGTGAGTCAGAGAGGGCAGCAGGGGCCAATTAATCTCCAGCCCTATGTGCCATGGTAAAAAGGGAAATTTTGTTCCAAATGTACTGGAAAGCCATTGCTTTAAACGCCAGGGAGTGTTGTGGCTGATTACTATTGAATGAATCCACTGAATGGTGAATACTGTGTTATGATGTATAGTAGGAATTTTTTAAGAGTATTGCCTTATCAACTGATAGGGGAACACATCACACTAATTATATTTCAGTTAAATGTTGAATATATTTTGCTACAAAACCAGACACGTCTTTGCATGATCTAGCCTCTGCCTAATTCATCAAATCTCCTTCCCTTTTCTGAATTTCTGGCAGCCCTGGAAGATGTCACGCTTTCTCTTCTATCTTGTCCTTCATACATGATCACTGTTTGATACACTCCCCATTCTTCACCTAGGCCAATTCCTTATCTTTTATATGTCAGTTCAATTATTAATTCCACTGAAAATTCTCCCCAACCACCATCTAAACAAAGGCCCCTGGAGTCCTCTCCTGTAGCACCATGTGAGATTCTTTCTTAGCACTTAACATAATTTGTAATTTACATTCAATTGCTTAATTCCCACCTCCCCATTCAGATTGTAAGGTCAATTCAAAATGGGACAATGTCTATTTCATTCACCACCGTGTTACAGCACCTAGCAGTGCCTGACATAAACAAGCCCATTAAGTGTTTGCTGAGTGAGTGAATGAATGAGTAATTGGAGGTAAGAGTGAACTAGCCTGGGCTGAAGTATGGCAGCTTGAGGGGAAGGCCTGCCCCTCCGCCATGCATGGAAGCTTATGAAACACCATCGAGGAACTTCAGTGTAAAGCCAGACACGATGTGATGATCTTGATTTAGGCAAATTGTGTATCCCTTAAAAATAGTTGTATGAAGCTATTTATTGGAGGTTTGAGTGATATCTTTTGTAAAAAAAACAAGTGTCCCTTAAATAGTCTGTTTTATATATTATCATACACCTTCATACTTAGAGATTTCCTAGGGGAATTGGGACACTCACTAACAATTCATCTGATAATAAACGACTCCTAAACTATTTCCAGATTAGCCAGTTCCTTTTTGTTTTTTTTAGGAGATAACTTGATTTTAGATGTCAGTGGTAGAAAGTAGCTCAGGATCTTTCAATGAAAAGTTCTAGTACATTTCTTCTTTCCAGTGTGAAAGGATACATCAAAAGAAAATGCTGACAAATATAGGGTTAAGATAAATTGTGCCCTGTCTTTAAAAATCCTGTAGAATAATTAGGCTCTCAAGTCCCAAGGCTAGCAATAGCTTCCTACATGTGATTAAACTAGCAAACAACTCTTTGTCTCTTGACCTGCATTTTGGGTTTATATATTACTTTAATTGGATTTAAAACAACTAAGATAAATCAAGATTTTCTAACCCATTGTATACTTTAGTGTAAATAAAAGCTATTCCAAAAAATTCAAAAATACTACTATTATAAGTAGTGGAAATAGCTTACTTTATGCAGAAGGCTAATATTTCACATCTAGTGCCACGGAGGGAGAGGTAAAAGATTAACTTTAAATGAGATGGATTCAGATATGAATTCAAGTTAAGATTTTAATAAATAAACTTAATATTTTCCCCCTTTTTCTCTTCTGATAAAAAGGCATTTAAATATGTGTCCATTCAAATGCAGTTTTAAGTTGCATAGAAAATTTTAATTCAGTTTGAACTGAGTGGAGCTTTTGCAAGAATGAATAACGTAATTTTGTTAGTTATCAGGAAATACAACTTTTTTACCAGGAAATAGTTCAGATCAATGAAGCAAAACTTCAAATGATTCTTACCACAAAAAATAAAAGTGAAAGTTGCCTCTGGCATCCAGAGATCTGCTTCGTGCTGTAACCTGTCTCCGAAGGTTTTCTGAACCCTGTTGGTAATCCCTCTCCAAGCCAGTTCTATTTCTGTGCTACAGTGAGCCCTGCACTTTTGGTTTTGTTGAGTGAAGCAATTTAGGAATTGCTTCCTGCAGATGGAGATGCATTTTATGGTGAATCATTGGAGCTGTAAAAATAACAAACTGCTGAAAAGGAGGCTTAAAATGATCCCCACCAAATAGTGAGATCTTATCTCGCCCATCTGAAAGAGCAATTGAGGG